ATTTTTATATAATTCTAGTAAGTACTAAATATGGCGAAGGGGGGCTTAGTGAAACGATTTGAGTAATTTCGACCGTCTATATTTCTACCTGATTGCAATACTGCGTACGCTTTTGTTAAAGCATTGCCAGCCAGTGCACTTTAAAATCTAGCTCCACATCATTACTTATCAGCATTGTCAAAATAAGCTATAAGAATTCCCTTCAATTTACCTTAAAATGATAATATAAATACCGTAAGTAATTATTATATAAAAAGACATTTTATAAAATTTTTGACAAATGGGCTCGTGGTTTTTAATTGATCACTGCCGCACATGAACATCTGCAGTACCTACAACATGTCCAGCAAATTAGTGGAATAAACTTCTGGTGTCTGTCTTCATCTGGACGCTCCCAAAGCAAGAGTGAATAAGTTTTTGTGAAGCTAAGAAAGTGCAATTAACCATGTAGTCTTTATCACAACCAGATGGGCATATAATAAGTGAAAACAAATCAATGGAAAGTGTTTTACTCAACTTTTAAAGCTAATTCTAGACCATGTTCTTTTAGGTATTTCTACAGTATATTTTGTTACCAGCTGTCATTTTAATTAGTTCTTACAACGTTAATATTAAATCGAAATCAAAATTTAGTTTAAAATGTTTTATGACGTTGTGAGCTCGTAAAAAAAAAGATTGTACAAAACAAATAATAAAATAGTTTTGATTTAAAAAAAAGTTATATCAAGTTCTCATACAAGAGATCGGAACTAAAAAAAAATCAATGTATTTAAACCAGCCCAGCATGAGTTTTATTAAATTATCATACTTGACCTCTCAGCTCCACTGGCACTAAGAATTTAGCTGCATCATTTTAGGCTGCATGTTCAAATTATATTATAAGAACAAGTTTTTTATAGCCTAGAAGCTATTGTTTCAAGTCTGGTTGCTTGATCCTGGACAGTTAACAAATCTGAAACAACATCAGAAACTCCTAGTTTGGGATAACATTTTTGAAATAAAGCAAAAAATAAAAAAAATAATTCCAATCCCAGTCGATATGCAAAATTTTTAGGATTTTTTGTTTTAGTTGTTTTGGAATTGTATTTATTTATGTCATACCTAATCATAGTCTGCCTCCAATTTTATTAGTCAACACTTTAGAGACAAGAGTTCATTAGCACAAGTAAGCATTTTCATGTTAGCGCTAGCACATGCGAAACTAACATATATTTTTATTTTCTATTCAATTTAAAGCTTCAGACTGTTTTAAGTTTCAAGATAAAATATCGTACGTGGTTGAGCCGAAAATACACCTTGACTTTCGTATAACTTAGAATTCTTATAAATGTATTTGTATTGTTTTTAAAATAATAACAGAGTTCTTAACCACCATTCGGTGTAAGGTAGCGTAGCTAGCTCTGACTTCGATGCAATTTTTATTACTATCTCTCCAAAACCTTATTGTCGGATTTTAATGAAATAATCAACGTGGTGCAATCAAAATGTATCAACGTAGGTTAATTTTAATTTAATTCACTGTTGTCATTGACACTCTCAGCGAATCGTATTGCCTTCTTATTACGATTATTTAATAAAACTTATTACAAAAATCTCTGACCCACTTTTGTCCGCAACATAAACATATCCTAAACATATCTAGTTGTCTATCAGTTATCTCTTAGCTGTTTTCTACAGTTAATATTTTATTGGCACATGAGGTGATTTTTTTAGTAAATGGCTTCTATATAAATCGCGAGTGCTAAGTTAGAGTCTGAGCAGGAGTTAACATTTGAGCAAAAACACAAATTGTTAGTTGTCGGGATTAAATATGTTGATAATTTTTCTTGATTGCCGTATTGTAGCAGTGTAAGAAAATCCTTTATTTCATTCCGTGGTTATTAAAAGATTTAAATATGCGAAATCGTGGCTTCCAAAAGAGGGTGGTGTAATTATGTGGCACTAGGCCTAAAATACTCAGACCAGTGACAAGAAAGATCTTCATATTGGTAAAATATCTGGTACTGCCATCCCCAATCTGTCTGCCAACAGAAATATCCTAGCAGTGAACTTATAGGGCTTCTTCTCAGTTATTTTTATTTTTTATAGTTCTTGTCTATTTTGCTACCACAATCTTACCTGTTACCACTAAATAGCTATACACTTCGTGTTAGTTGCGGTCTGAAGGACATAAAGGACATGCTTAATTACAGGCTGTGAGGTATTCCATCTTAGTTCTTAGAAGTGACAACATATCTGTCGCCTTATTTGTTTGAAGATGGTCGCAGGTGTCCATGGGATGAGATGCATTACTTGCAATTCTGACCATAAGATAGACTGTAAGTTCATTCTTCTATTTGGTTTTATAAAAAATATGTTATACTTTATACGAGCGATTTCTGTATATTTGACAAATACTTTACCGTGTAGTGGTGGTGTGATAATATCTACGGTAGCATATCGTTCATGAGTGTTGTAACGGTTGTCCACCCGCCTGCCGTGCCTGGCAACTGTGGCAATGATACTTGCCACAGTTGCCAGGCACGGCAAGTGGGTTGGCAACTTTGTTTCTGACTTCAAACTGTTGGTTGGCCCTTATGAAGCAATCGATGGGGATGCCTATGTTTAGCAGTGGACTTCGATAAGCAATAATGAATTAATGAATTAAATACAAGGGGAATTGCTCACTTAAAGTATAGGACTTTCGTCCAATACTTTATGTGAGAAATTCCCATTATACTTACTTGTTTAAATGCTGTTTAAAAGTTGGTTTCTCGGGTTTGTTTTTTCAACGATTTTGATAAAGTTTTGTATTAAGTTAATATTTTACTTTCCATGTTTAGAAAAATGTCATCCCTTAGAAAAATAAGGTTCTTTTTCTAACGCTGAGATATGGTCGGCACCCATCAATTATTTGTTAAATTTTATTATATTCATTGATGGCTGTTTGCGTAATAACAAAAGTAAATTTTAAAATTAAAATTGTGATCAATTAGTAATTTATTTATGGGTCAATGTCTACTCTTTAACAACGAAATCCCAGAAAATGTACACAATTTGTCACTTAACATATTCAAATGTTTTATTAAAGATAAATTGTACAACAAGGGATATTATAAAATTAAAGAATACATAAATGAAACTAACTCCTGGGAATGAGGTGATCGCCACCATGCTGGTTCTATAAAAATAATTAAAAAAATGCACAAACAAAATTATCGTAAAGTGAAATATGTTTAAAAAAAATCCCGCTAGAATTATTCTTCAAGTTCTTCCCAGGACAAAGGTTTTCCGAACCAGTGGTAAATAGAAAAACGACTTTCAATAAGTATTATGCAATAATCTACATAGAATAAATCATTTCATTTCATTCCATTTCCTCAGAAGTTACAACGCATTTTAAATTCTTCTTTGTTTGAAGTTGGTTGCAGGTATTAATATGCAGCAGTAGCAACATACTATTAGGTGGATAGTGAGTTAGTTTGCCGATTCTGTTTGATCGGTAGTAAGTAAGCCGTATTTTATAATTGTTGAATTTCTCAAATTGGAAAGTCACCCCGTCTTAAACGCCCGTATCGAAAATTCAAACGACGACACCTCGTACATAACATCCGTTTAAACTTTCCACGATAGCTATCATTCGTAGAGTTTAGCCTTTGATAATCATAAGGCCCGGCTAAGCGTCTCAATTTTACTTGCAGAAATTCTAATTTGCACACGCCAGCATGTATGTTAAGCCGGCAAAACTGTATACCGTGCAAATGGCTTGCACAAATGCTTAATTTGCTCAAACTATGGTTGTACAGGCAAGCGCGTACGTTAAACCATAATATTCCAAGGTATTAAATTTGGAAAAATGTAATAGATTTTTTGAGGATATTTAAAGGGTCTTAAACCAAACAAAAATAAAGTTATTACACATTTAAATTTCATAAAGCTGAAATTCGGAATTCGGAAAGCTTGAGAACAGTGTTGATGTGAACCACTTTATGTATATAAGCTTTATATTTCGTAGCATTGACGACATCTATAAAAAATCCATCTAGCAAATATAGTGCCATTTTTCATCCAGTCTTATGGAATTAGCAGCAAGCTTGACTTGGTACCCGTCGCGGGGTTCCAATCTGTTTGGTTAGAGACGGAGCTTTGCCAAGAATCAATAGGTATGAACTACGTACCATGTGATAGATAGAAAGTCATGAACATCTTTAGCATGTCCACTGGTAAAAGTCTCTGTAACTGAAATGCATTACTAGCACACACATTTATGGGAAACATTATTATTTGCCATCTTAACACCTATTTTAATTTTTTCTTTATTTACTGGCATTTTATTCAATATTTACCAACATTTTTGTCAAGACTGTCAACTCCACCCATGTGCTAATTACATAGCAGTTACCAATGTGGTCAAGCGACATCCACTCGTTTATTGCTGCACTACCTCTTCAGCTCCTCAACTGGCTGGATACCGTTTTCTTTCGAGGAAATAGTCACGATGTTGTTGTCCTTGTAGCACACTAATGTCGCTTTAGTTGATATATCCTTTACTTGATGGTCTCTTGTGGTCTTCTTCATATTTTTTAGATCTTTTAGCGGTGCACCTTCAACTCTATTGGCTCAGAGCATTCCAGAAATAAAATGACCCATCTGACTAATTTCGTGAAGTAATCTTAAAGAAGTTATCAATATAAATAGTATAATGACAATCTGGTAGCTTCGTAATCAAGTTTGTCATTACAGAACCGCCTACGCTGAGATTTAGATTTGTATTTCCAGTTTCAGCCTCTGGTAAGGTTACCATGTATAAAATATCCCAATTGTATGCAAAGGGACCAAATTTTATAAGTACCCGACACGGATTACTTTACCATGTACGAGTATGTGCTGCTTGGCTTCATGTTTTCTAAAAATAAGGCATCATTGACTCGTCAATTGATAAATCTTTATCTCCTGGAAAATACTTTGGCCACTTTTCATTCATCATATCTCACAGAAGTCTTACTTTGCCAAATTTATCATCATGTCGCGGTTCCCGAAATGCCTTCAACAGTTTCCAGAAGTCGTTCCGATGATATAGACTGGCATTGTACCTCAACTTCACCCAATAATTGTCGACGCGCAAGATTGCTATTACCTGCTTCATCGTCACTAATGACTTCATCGCAATTATCTAAATTTTCGGGTGGTGTATTTCTGCAGTAAATGGGGGTTATCACCTTCTCAGGCTGATATAATATTTCAACAGTTAGCCATTGAACATAAAACAAGAATAATAATGTATTATGAAATAAAAAATATCTAAGCGTCCAAATATATTGCATTGAAAACAATTTTTATAGTCTTCTGTTCTCAGGGCACCTTTAATGGGATTTTATCTTCAGCAATGCTTTTTAAATGGCAGCTAATGTAGTTTATTTCATAATAAAAAATAATTTTGTATTCTTACTTATTAAAAAACAAATAGTTTGTGTCAAAATGTAGGTAGACAGCGTGTGGACGCCACACATGTTTTTTGCGAAAACTTTGTACAAACTGTTTTCGTATGCGAGACGCTATCGTGTGAACGTTGTGGAGTGCACCATGTGGTAAGCGCAAATTTTTTGCAAAAATTGTTTGCTCATGCAAGTCGCTGCGTGTAGCTATTCAAAGCTGTATACATATTTATTTTATGTCATAGCCCACAGTCGTGCAGTTATTATTATCATTTTATTTAATAAAGTATTACTGAAAAAATCCGTAGATTTTATTAAAATAAATGCTTTTATAAGTTGATATCTTTAGTCATGGAGAAAATACCTTGAATGTTTCAATTATAAATTATTCAGAACAATGACAGAGAACAATATATAAAGAAAGATTTGGTACTTGAACGATTAATTTGTCTAAAAAAGTTACCAACTCACCGAATTTCATTTTTAACTTTAATAATGCTATTATATAAGCGGTTTTCGGACTTGACTTGGAGTCTTGACTTAACCCCTTTTTCCTTATACATAGAACGTAACCTAGAATTTATATTCTAAAATTGCAGTGGTCCTGTTGATATAGCATACTCATGATTCTGAATGAATTTAAAGAAGCTCAGAGAGTAAGAGAGTAAAAATCGAAATACTCATGTATGAAATTGTAAATGTAGGTATCTAAATTAATGAATTACTCGATACGCGGGGCATATAGTGGAAAAATTGTTTAACCATTCATATTTATGCTGGTTTATTTACTCGTTCACGTTTAAACGAGATTTTAAAGTAACAAAAATGCGACGGTTATTGTTGATAGTTGTGTTTCTGTTAATTTTATATTCATCATTATCATTATCATTACAGCCTAATTACAGAATAAAGCCCCACACGTCCACATACATATATCTGTCCCAAGTAATGTCAAAAAGCACGGGGCTTTCTATATGCCTTACCAGCTCTTCACTCCACCTAGTTGGGGATGACCTACACTTCAACGACCTGAACGAGGCTGAGTTATGAATTGTTATGAAATAATTTTGGTAGAAATTATAAATAAAATAAAAACATTGCATGCATTACATTCTATATATGTTATATAATTAATAAATATATTGAAAATAAACTTCGACACTTAAAAATATGAGTTTCTGCAAAAGTAAAGAATTAAAAAAGTTTTTAATATTTTATAACGTAAAAGCGTAATAAAAGAAATTTCAATTCATCTCGATACTGAACCTCGCGAACATCTACACCAAATTAAAAATATTCTTAAAGCTATAAATAAGTTATCATTTCAGAGAACTTCACAGAGAACGCTGTTAGCCTATAATCTTTTAATGTAAACGTAAAAAAGTGTTTTGACAATCTATAGTCAAAAGATTATATTATCTCACAAATAATATATCAAATACTTCTTACAAATGTAAAAATAATAATACAATATGAACTAATATCCTTTTACATTCATGCTATAAGCTATTTAAACTGACTTCTTTAACATCATCAGCGCGTAACAGCCCACAGCTCGGCTTAGTTCTTATCCGTTGTAGAGAGTATTTTCCGAAACCATCGCGTCTGGCAAGCTGATTGATTGCAGCACCAAATGTCCCGCACCTTTTACGTTGTTCCCCGTCTTACTGACTTAATAAATACTTTAATTATCGTTATGTTGACATGAAAATGAATCCCTGACGCCCGGTGTTAGTGTTAATTAAACGAAAATATCCGAAGCAACATACTTTGCAATATTAGGAACGTGGAGACAATCATATCGTGATTAGAACCGAGAAGTAACGATTTTTATTTTATGTGATCTTAGCTCCGGCGAGGATCTTCTGGAGGAACTTTAGAGTCGTGTCGAACTTAGGGTACTCTGACTTAAGATACAATATCAGTAAATGTCAAAAAACTGAACCGAGAAGTAACGATTTTTATTTTATGTGATCTTAGCTCCAGCGAGGATCTTCTGGAGGGACTTTAGAGTCGTGTCGAACTTAGGGTACTCTGACTTAAGATACAATATCATTAAATGTCAAAAAACTGAACCGAGAAGTAACGATTTTTATTTTATGTGATCTTAGCTCCAGCGAGGATCTTCTGGAGGGACTTTAGAGTCGTGTCGAACTTAGGGTACTCTGACTTAAGATACAATATCATTAAATGTCAAAAAACTGAACCGAGAAGTAACGATTTTTATTTTATGTGATCTTAGCTCCAGCGAGGATCTTCTGGAGGGACTTTAGAGTCGTGTCGAACTTAGGGTACTCTGACTTAAGATACAATATCATTAAATGTCAAAAAACTGAACCGAGAAGTAACGATTTTTATTTTATGTGTTCTTAGCTCCGGCGAGGATCTTCTGGGGGAAATTTAGAGTCGTGTCGAACTTAGGGTACTCTGATTTAAGATACATTATCACTCAATGTCAAAAAATTTTGCATTCTTCGTCAGCATTTGAAAGTCCACTTATGCCTTTAGCCTCTCTTTTGATGTATGGATAATTTGCCTAAATCACTATTTTTCATACCTTTAAGAGCCCCGTCACAGATCTGAGTATAATATGTCATTTGACTAGCTTAAAAGAGATTATCAAACCGCTATCTACAAGATTATTGTTAACTTTTATAACCACCACGGGACGAAATGAGGTGGTAAAGTAACTTACGCGCCATCGAACGACAGATTTAATAATCATTAGAGAAATGGCGCACCATGGATGCTTGTAAACTTAAGAAGATTATCTAAATAATGATTTCTTACATAACCGGGACTAATACATTGAATTGTACAGATGTTACCTTCTACTCTCAGCTCGGCATCTCAATAAGTGTCAATCAACGGTCCGTACTTTATCGTTATTATCGTTATCTTGGGGTGGGACTTATTTTTTAAGGGTACTCCTATTTGGCCGTTTATAAAGATTGGTCGTTAATCGTTATATTTTCATATCGCGTGTGCTGGCGGCGAAAGAATAGTATAGAATAATTTTTTTTTATTAAGGATTACTAGAATACTTATTGAAAGTCATTTATGCTTTTACGACTGGTCCGAAAAAAGCCTCTGTCCTGGGGGGAACAATCAAGAAACGCAGCTCAGGAAGACACTTCATCTAGTGAATGACTGCTCTACACTTCTCTCGATATAAGGCTGACACTAGAGAACATCTCTTCCCCGTCGATTGTTGTGTGTATATGGCATATAGTGTCTAATAAGACTTGCTCTTGGATAAATCCATATAAATCAAAATCTAATAGTTTCAGCCTATGGGAGACATAAGAGTTTACCTTGGGAAATACTGGTTGGGATTTCCCAGGTTGGTATGGGAAGACTTAGTTGACAACGATATACAACCATAAAATGCATCTCATATTATATTACATTTATAAAATAGCAGCGTCGTACATGTGATATTCGATAAACCTGTGAAGTTCCATGTGCCTCCTATGTAGGTCTACGTCCGATAGCAAGAGATAATGAATAATAAAAAAAATATGCTTCATTGTGATGATGCTCGTAAAAGTGGAGTGTTCAACCTGAAGCTGTCCTAAAGTAGGTAAGATTTGTCGTAACTGTCACGCTCAGCCGGTGGATTCGATATCGCAGTATCAGACGACTTCCACCATTGATGCTGGCTCACAAGTTGGTCAGGGTATTTTACGTTCAGCGTAAAAAAGTTTATATACTGCCATCTACCGGACTTCGTGAGAACTTTCTGGCATTGCCCATAGTCACTTCTAACGATAACAAGAACGACGAGTAAATTTTCTGGTAAAGAAAGAGATGCAAAAATTTTTGTAGCTTGAAATATCTCAATAGTTTTTATATAATAATAGGTATGGTATTTTTCTTACGTTTTATTTGTCTTTCAGACAAACCTAAATAATGTTCTAAAGATTTTAAATGTCTAGTTTTAATTATATAAAAAAGGGACTTAATTTAAAAATCTGCGTTCAAAAATGAAATGTTGGTACTTGATGCGAATTGAGTGTATTTGAAGAGTAAAACTTTTCCTCATACAAATGCCCTTGATGTTTAAATAAATATGATAATAATAATGATATTCTTCTGGATGTTTTTGATTTGTTGGAAATTCTCAACTGCGAAACCTTTAATATACTGAAAGTTTGAACTTTATTGTTATATGTTTGTGACTCAACTGCGAAACCTTTAATATACTGAAAGTCTTCGGACGACTTTACGATTTACCAATGTTAAGTTTAGTTCCAGATGTGATGCTTTAAACGAAAAGATGGTTGGTATTTTAGTAAGCAGTTCTCAAATTTGAAGATTAATTATAAAAATTACTTTTAGCATGGATCTGAACTTAAAATCCACGGACAAACGTCATCAACATTTCAGCCTCTCCCAAAGAATGCCACAAAACACGGTCCTGAGTCACCTGCATCCATCGACTTCCTGCATGTCTTACCAGGTCGTCACTCCATATGTTGGGGGGCCGACCTTCACTTCGTCTATCAGTGTGGGGGTGGCACCCGAGCACTTCTATCGGTTATCGGTTCTTCGAGCTATACGTCCGGTCCGTTGCCACGTCAGCTTACTAATATTCAGCTATGTTGGTTCTACGGTAGATATCCTCATTTCTAAATCTGTCATACAGAGAAACCCCAAACGAAGCCCTTACCATAGCTCACCGATCAACCTTAAGCTTCACCATGGCCAGCAATAAAGGACAATACCGTCAGAAAATCGAAGGTGAATGATGTACTGGCCAAGGATAGTAATACCGTATCCTTTACAATCCA